AACAGTAGCAGTAACAGTAACAGTAACAGTAACAGTAGCAGTAACAGTAACAGTAACAGTAACAGTAGCAGTAACAGTAACAGTAACAGTAACAGTAACAGTAACAGCCCTTTGCAGCTGCCAGCCTTTCGACCTGCAGTGATTGTTGCCCGTTATTCAGGCAGCAGCTGTAGCTTCCAGGACAGGCCTGGTCTCGGCGGCTGTGGTGTAGCTTCCACTTTCTCCGTAATGATCTAACAGCGTCCAATTTCTTGGATATATTTGGCAATTTATGACATTTGCTTACATTATCTATAACTTATATTGCTCATTAGTCTTCCACTCCTTTCCTTCATATAGTAATACTACGTGCATGGATGCCTGCAGCAGTATGCCTGTACTCACTGTGCATACCCTTGCTTATATACTTGTTAATATTTGGCTAATGTTATCAGTTTTTTGTGCCATTATGTTTGCATGATTCTGGGTAAAATATGAATCGCATTTTTTTTCTACTCAGAATACATTCTTGGAATTCAAAGTCAGCAGTACCAGAGCTGAGACACAGCTACTGAGATAATGGAGGTGATTACATTGGATGATCAGCCATTTTCTAGAGTGTAGCACGAGGGATTTCATCAGCTCATTCGCCAGTTGAAAGGTCTCAAAGTACCAGCCCGCGACATTTTTATAATCAATTATTAAATCTGGCCCGTAGATCGAACTTTTGTTTTCCACAGATGAAAAGAATGATCTAACGTTTTAATCCGCTAATCTGCACTGGTAAGTTTAATTGCTGGTGGTGATATTAGATAAAAATTATTCGGTATTGGTCAAAATTTCCACATGGGGTACCGCTAACAATACGATCTTCACTGATATGGGACTGTTACATCCACATTCCTCCTTCAGTGAAACAGGCTGTCCTCCTGTCCCGTTTTCACGGCCTCGCCTTCGCCTGTTGACGTGCTCACGTGGCGGGACGCACACGCATTCGGTACTGGGGTCGGGTGTCAAACCCATGAGTCCCTCCTGTGGGTATTTAAACCAACGCTGAGATGGTGCACATCTCTGACTTAATAAAAACGGCTTTCAAAATAATGTATAGTTTTACGTTAATGGTGCAGTCTTATGCAGCGTATGGCTCAGCGGGTTAAGCTTCTGTGGCTGTGACTGGAAGATCGCCAGTTTGAGCCCAGCAGAGCTGCCACGCTCACTCTCAGCTGCATGTGTGTCTGTGTGTCACGGAGAGCAAGATGGGGTAGGTAAAAAGAGAGTGTCCCCACGCGGATCAATGAAGTGTGATTATTATTATTATTCTACCTGAGCTGAAGATGGTTATCTATGGAAACTTGAGTAACATTATAGTAGAGGGCTTCACAGATGTTTTAATTGGCCTGACTGATGTTATCACTCTGTGGTAACATCTCGTTATGCTTAATGAATTGAGATTGATTGCATGGCCTGGTTCTCCGCGAATGGAGGTCATTCTCTCTCACTGATTCAGTATGGCGACACCCTCCTCCCACTCTTGCTGAACGCCACCCCCCCCCACTTGGCTGGTAACCATAGTGATGCTAAGGAAGGCTTGGGCAATGGTGGTGATGGAGGGGGGGGATTTGCAGATGCTGCCAGTCTTTTCGCATGTGCCCATCCCTTCAGTCCACTGTGCTTTGTCACGCAGGGGAATTCTGGGTAATATGGAGAGAGGGGGTGACACCAGCTGCTGGGGGGCTTATCAGCTTAAGCAGTCAGAAGGTAGATCTGCCTCCTCCCCAGTGCCTCCACAGAACATTACATTAGACTCAATATTAATTCACAGGAATATCGTGAATTTTGTTGTAACACGTGAGGTGCCATTTAAACAATGGCTGAAATTATCAATCTGTCACCCTGCTGCCCTGCGATCCCAGTGTCAATATATCGTCTGTGCCTGGAATGTGCCTCGCTTCCTGGTTAGCAGGAATCTCTGAGCTTCGGGGCAGGCAATTTCACTCATTTGTTTACCAAATGAGGAGAAAATGAATAAACCTGCACGCAAAGCAGCAGAGCTACCCAGCGCACATGGGAGGCCTCCCCCGGGCAGGCTGGCGCATGCGCAGTCCCTGCTCTCCCCCTGCCCTGCCCCCTCCCCTCCCACCGCGCGTCAGCTGCAGCAGCGAGCCGCCGCCTCAGTTGCTGAGCTGCATCTCCAACCTACGGCACACGGCCATGGTGGAGCAGAGCATGGATCCACGGAGCGGCCCAGGACAGCCTGGGGGGGGCTGGGCACTGGTCCCCTCCATCTCGGCCGTTATTAAGTACTCTTGCTTCATCTGCTGGTCCAGGGAGAAGAGCTCTGTGGGAGAGGAAGTCAAGGAGAATGCGGTGAGCGTCAGCCAAAGGACGTGTGAAATTCAGGTGAGCCGGGCAGGACATGGTGGCGTGTGTGTGGGTATCTGTGTAGGTATCAATGTAGGTATCTGTGTAGGTATCTCTGTAGATATCAATGTAGGTATCTGTGTAGGTATCTGTGTAGGTATCTCTGTAGATATCTGGGTAGCTATCTGTGTACATATCAATGTAGATATCTGTGTAGCTATCTGTGTAGGCATCTGTGTAGGTATCTCTGTAGATATCTGTGTAGGTATCTTTAGTGCTTTCGGGCAGGAGCGTATTCCTGATAGTGTGTATCATCGACGTACCTATGCACCGTCGTCTGTTACTGCATTCCTTGTTTTGAGAAGGGTAGCAGTGTAAAAAGACATGGTGTTTTCGTTCTGTGCTGTGGCTTTCTGGGTGTTCCTCAGAGAGCACACAGGATGGGCAGATTTCAGCATAAGGTGTATAATGGAACTTTGTTACTTCAGCCAGACGTAAGGTGCATCTGAAGCTGGTTTGCCCGCCTGTCCGCCTGTCCGCCTGCCTGCCTGCCCGCTCGCTATTTTTGGATGCTTGCATCCTGACGGGCTGGGCTGACGAGTCACGGCGCCGTTTGGGAGAAGCCCAGTTACATTCGGGCTGTCTCCCCCAGATGACATCTGAGAGACATTCTGCAGGAAAATCAATTTGTCTGGATATTGATAGGAGTGTCTCCGATGATGCTAAAAAGATCATCGACTGGTCAGTTCATCGTTTAACCTGCTGCTGCTGGCCATGGTCACATAGACACTGCATGCGATTGCTTACTGTGGGATGGTCCTGTTGTTAGGGATGGATACTGGTGAAGGTGAATCCACCCAGGGGTGCAGGGTGGTCCTGACCCCTGTTCTTATAGCCTGGATTCATCACCTTTTCAGTGACGGTGTAAAGGCTCAGCATGATGGGACCCCCAATGATGTTAACGCCTCTTTTCATTTTTCCTAAAGCAAACCTCATGCAAAGTGGATGGAAACGGAATCTTTCCTGGAATTTAGCCTTACATTACAGCTGACTGAGTACAGTTAGTCCAGGAGGTACTATGCATATCCTTTGTAATCAATTGGATATTTCTGTTAGCTTGAATGTGCTAATCAGGCATGTCCACAAGATGTAGAACAACTGTGAAACGATGGAACAGACATAAATCTATGGTGATTTTTAACCAGCTCAGGTCAGGCCAGAGTGTTTCTCTGAATGACTATGGGAGGCTGATGGAGCTTAATGCCGTCACACGTTATTTGATGCTTTTTGTGTATTACAAATTCTTTTTGGTAGCCATTTCTTTAAAAATAAATACAGTAACACTTGAAGCTGTCATAATGCATTATAGGTACCTACATGATGTATTTTAATAGTCAGCATATGAATTACTAAACCATTACAACATCTTCTATTGACAGTCATAAGGCATTATAGTGTTGATTATAATACTTCATCAGATCCAATGAAGCTCTCATCTATAATGCACTATAGATACCTTCATAATGCTTTATAATGGTTGATATAAGAATTAAGGGTGCTTTTTACTGCATTATGAAGATATCTATACTGCATTATAGATGTGAGCTTCATAAACCATTCATAATGCATCATAAACATGGCTATAATGTATTATGTCTTTTCATAAATATATAGCCATGTTTATAATGCTTTATGAATGTGTTACGAATGTGTTCATAGATTCTTATAGACGTGGCATTCATAGAAAGTGTTTCTGCTTTTTCTTTAAAAAAAAAAAACCTTAATTATGTAAATACTAAATGTGCACATTAGTCTACAGAATCGGTTGATTGGCTGTTTGGTCATTGTGTTTCTGATCCAGTGTCATTATCATGAATTAATAGTGTGGCTAAAATGGAGCCTCTTCAGAGGGGATCAGAAGCCCTTTATTCAAAAGCACCGTCAGCATTACTGTAGCCAAAATGATGAACCGTTTCTATTTCCGTGCCTGACAGCGTGAGGCAGGCTTCGGCGACCGCTCTCTGCTCAATGGACAGAAAGACCAGACGCAATCCTTCGCAGTCCAGCATGATACCATGTGGTGACTGCCCCAAAGGGATTGTGGGATAGGTGTATTTAGGGAATATATTACAATGTTTAGCTCTCGAGCTGTCCTCAGGTGTGTCTGCGAGGGCTTCCTCGCGGCGTCTCTTTGGGACCTTGTTGATCTCGTTGGTCTTCTGACCTCTCTGAGCTGCCCACAGCCACGTGACCCTTTAACACAGTGTTTCCCAACCCGGTTCCTGGGGGCCTCCATATGGTCCACATTTCTGCTCTCTCCCAGCTCCTACCAAAACGTGGACCGTCTGGGGGTCCCCCAGGGCCAGGTTCAGTAACACAGATTTAACTGCAGGTGACCATCTAGAGGGCTCTCTGCCCTTAGCTAACCACGGGCTCCTGCAGAGGATGAGTTTTGATTTTTCTAATTTAATCTTATTATTGAAATATTTTAATTGGCTGCACAGTGGCGTCACACCACCAGGGTTGAGGATTCCGATCCCACCTCTGCTCTGCGTGTGTGGGGTTCAGATATCCTCCGTGTGTCATGTGGGTGGACCGGCGTCTGCCCTGCCTGGGACTGGCTCCAGGACCCCTATAACCCTGACCAGGATAAATGGCTTTAGAAAGTGGAAAAGTGGATCGATGGCTGTTTGGCAGTGGGGTGAAGCAATGCACCTGAAGTCCTTTATTAAATTTTTATTATGTTTAAATATTTTTTTATTCTGAGGTCAGTTGAAGGCGTATTGATGTGTCTGAGAACAGCATGGAGTACTGGTACTGGTGTACCGACGGTCCATTCAGAGATTATCGACGTCTTTTACGGTGTGACATCTGCCTGCCATGGGCTCCAGGCCAAGGACAATTTTTTTCACCCAGATAGCAGATGACACCTTCCTTCACTTGGATGCTGGCTTTTAGCAGATGGATGACTAATGTTTCCTGCCTGCGTAGCCCCCACCCCCCCCCAGCTGCCTGCCGCCCCCACATCCTGCTTCTCCATGCCTCCCCTCTTCACAGGAGCTGCAGGAGGAGGTGCAGCGGGAGAGCGGGGAGCTCAGGCAGCTACAGAGCCGGAGATGGCAGGTCCAGGAGGGGCTTGGCGAGCTGGAGCAGAAGAAGAGCGACCTGGAAGGGCAGCTGGAGCACATTCAGGAGCAATGCAGCCAGGAGAACCAGCTGGTGAGCCAGAGCAGGGCTGCGGTGGGGGTTCTGAGGATTTTATTTCCATTTTATTGGATACCTACTGCAATACAGCAATTAAACTACATAAAACAGTTAAAGCAAGGTTGAGACTGAGTGAAAAGCGGCACATCGCGTGACCAGGAGGACCGATGTTCCCTGTAGAGGCTTATGAGGCAGGGGGGCATTCTGGAGGAGGCCGCAAGGTGATAGGTATAAGGCTTCCCACAGCAGGCCGCAAGGCATAAGGCAGGGGTGGCCAATCTTATCCGCAAAGGGCCGGTGTGTATGCAGGTCTTTGGGGTAACCTGTAGGTCAGCTATTCAAACCCAGGTGTGGGGACTCTTCAGCCAATCAGTCCTCTAATTAGTAATCTAATTAGGGAGTTGCAGTGAAAACCCGCACACACACCGGCCCTTTGCGGATAAGATTGGCCACCCCTGGCATAAGGCATCCTGGTAGCAGGCCTTAAGCCTTAAGACATCCTGGTAGCAGGCCTTAAGCCTTAAGACATCCTGGTAGCAGGCCTTAAGCCTTAAGACATCCTGGTAGCAGGCCTTAAGGTGTAAGACGTCCCTTAAGGTCTCCAGGGATAGGCCTTTTCTCCTGCACTCCCAGACCTCAAAGCCAGACAGAGCCTGCTGTCCCAAAACCTGATACCCATTTTGTCTTCTCTAAGTTTGAGACCAAAATGACTGTTTTATGCATTCACCCTGTCCCCCCCCCATCCTGCTCATCTCTGAGTAGTTCTGCTCTCCATCCAGGGCAGGTCCTACAGCTTTTATAATAACTTGTAAGAGGTCATAATAGGCTGCTGGCCTCCTCTGTCAGGGACAGATATTACAGTATTTATAACAGGTTATAAGAGGTCATAATAGGCTGCCTGCCTGCTCTCTATTCTGCCTGGGGCAAATATTACAGTATTTATGTATTTAAGTAATGTTATTTAGAATCAAAGATTAGATTAGTGTATTGGTTTACTGTCATGATTCACCTGGATAGCACTATGTGTGCTGTTGGAGAAAATGAATGAACACCCCTCTGACCAATCAGATTTGAGAATTCCACAGTGACATAGTAAAACCTTTTATAAAGCCTGTAATGCTTGTTCTGGGCGGAATAGAGAGCAGGCAGCCTGTTAAAAAATAGGTTGCTTGCATGCTCTCTATTTCCCCTGAGGCAGGTATTACAGTATTTATAACAGGTTATAAGAGGTCATAATTGGCTGCCTGCCTGCTCTCTATTCTGCCTGGGGCTGACATTACATTATTTATAATGGGTTATAAGAGGTCATAATAGGCTGCTTTCCTGCTCTGTCTGCAGATTCTTTCTCTGCAGGGGGAGCAGTTGGAACAGCAGCAGCAAATCGAGGAGGTGGAAGAGGAGCTGTTGCGGGCACAGGAGGCGCTGTGGAGGCTGCGGGAAGAGGCGGCACGTGCCGGGGAGCGACTGGAGGCCACACGGACTCGGCTGGGGCCTCTGAGGGTCCATGTCCGTGACTCCCACGCCAGCATCACTCAGGTGAGCATGCAATACCACAAATAACCCCTGTGGGAGGGATTTAGTCTCTGTCAATCACTTTATAGCCAATAAGTAGTGGGCAAAGTCCATTTACGATTGGCACATGATAATCCCAGAGGCTTCAGATCTCTTTCCTGCTACGACCTGGACGTATGTATGTATAGCCACGAAAAAATTAAAGCAAATTTATGTGTGGGGGGTTCAGCTCTCTGTGTAGGCCAGTTATTTTCTAATTCTTGATCCTCAGACTAATGGTGTGTTTGATTATTATTTCTCCGGAACTCCGATGAAAACGTCACGAAACGTCACGAAAAACGTAACTTCCCATCGGAAACACGCCTCTTTTATGACATTCATGTCGGACAGAATTTTCTTGTCCGAGTTGCCCCTGTGACGTAATTTCAACATAGCGGCTTACACACTCAACAGTTATTCTATTTTATAAATCTTTAAAAATGTTTATTTTGTTAAATGTATTAATAGTTATAAATGTAATTGCACGTGTTCGATTTAGAGGATACCATATCATGACCATAAACAGTATCCTAGCATGAAATATCAGACTTGTTAGTGTCTTTGGTTTGTTTGTAGTTTGTTTTTCCTTTCAAAAAAAGAATATCGCTATGAATGTACTAAAGTATTTTACAAGGCTTTAAATGTGGTTTGACTAGTTCCTGATTCTCTCGGAAAAAATAATGTCACTCCAATCAGCAGCGTGTTCATGGAGGCAGCCATGTTTGTTCCGAGATGTGGTAGCTCGAACGGGAGATTGTTGGACGTGATGTCACTCAACTCGGGATTTCCGAAAAACGAACACACCAAAAAGTTAAACTCGATCATGTGACACACTCCCCCCCCCTCCCCCCGGTCCAGCTGCAGCTGAAACTGGATGAGCTTCAACATACAGACACACCCTTGAGGGAGGAATTAGAGCCACTGACCAATGGGATCGCAGATGTGGAGGCAATGACAATGACAGCTGAGCCACTTCAGTGGGAGAGGGGCCAACTGGAGTGGAGGGGGGAGGAGGAGCAAGTGGCCCCTGAAGAGCAGGAACCCAAAGCTGATGTGTCAGAGGAGTTTCACGGCAGCTGCCAGCTGCAGCAGACTATGGTTAGAGCAATCTCGGCTTCCAGGTCACTTACATCTAGTAGAACATGGCTAACCACCTTCCCCAGGGACATCCTGATTTTGCAGAGTTTGACGTGTCTGCATTTCACTTCTTTTATCTTAAGTCTTCATTGTATGACATCACCATACAGTGAAATCCCGTTATAACGGACTTCAAGGGTCCTGGCAAAACAGTCCATTATATCCAAAGTTCGTTATATCCAGAGTTGCTGTATGCCCAGGACACAACTACACGCACCTTGTAGGCGGAGCTGCATGTCCGTTATAGCCGAAGAAAACTACAGCTAAAAGCGGCCCTGGGGACCAAATTGTTTGTGCATTATAGACGATATTCCGTTATAAGTGAATCCACTATAACGGGATTTCACAGCAGGCTAAACTTATGTGCCCATGATTGAATGGTTGCTGGTTCAAGCCATACTATTATTATTATTATTATTATTATTATTATTATCAAAATCATGAAATAATGTCACACCCTTGTATTGCTCCATACAGCCTATGACATGTCCCTTAACAAAAGGCATAAATACAACAGGTACATTACAAATTAAAACCTAGTTTTAATTGATGTGGTGATGTCATACAACGAAGACTGTGATTGGTAAAAGAAGTGAAAGGCAAGGCTCTCTCGTTGACCCAACGCCCTTTCCTGCCAGGCCAATTCCGGACTCTGTCCTGTTTGTCATTTCCCTGTTTGGCCAGCAGGTGTCGCTGGCCATCCTAATCCTAGTGTTTGAGTCCTTAGTGTTGATTAATTATGACCCTCACCTGGTCTCGTTATTCCTAGTCATAGTATTAATTTATTGTCAATGGCCCGCACCTGTTTCTTGTTTTGTCCTTGTTACCCTGTATCTATACATGCCTACCTTTGCTCCTTGACGTCAGGTCCAGAGAGTAAAGGTCCAGACCAGTATTTTGTTTCAACCAACCAGTTGAGCATAAAGAGTCGCAGTCACAGAGTACTCAACTGGTTGGTTGAAATAAAATCCCAGTCGTAGCACTTTGCATGTAACCTTTGCACCCTTGGACTCCTAAATGAAACAGTGGTTCTTGTTGTCTTCCTCAGCAAAGCAGCGGTTCCAGTTCTCCATCTGAAGTAGCAGCAGCACAGAAGGAGGATCTGCAGAAGTCTGTAAACACCAGCGCATTCAAGGTTTGGCCCAGATATGCCTAGGAAGGAATACCTCTTTTTGACTGCCCATCTTCATCCATCCAGCCTGTAAACTGCTTTTTGACGTTCCTATAACTTTGCTGACAGCAAGATATAAATCACTGTATACATCTTTGATTTCCTACTGCCATGGTGAGAACCTCTGAGCCTCATGTCTGAAAGGGCTTCTAGTTAAATTCGACTGTCAGCTTACACCTGGATCAGATTGACAGTGTAATACTGGCTTACTGTGTTAAGCTGACTGCAGTGTCCGGGATAACATACTCTTCTTTGGGGTTTGACTGGATTATGGAGCAGGGGTTGATGTACAGGTTGTTCCTTTATGTCCAGCAGGTATCACTTCCAGAGGAGGCAGAACCTGTGGAGCAGGCCAAGGCCCCTACGGTCGGCACGTTGGACTTCTTCCATTCGGACCCTTTCACAGACAGTAGGTGTTCAACTCTTGTCCCATGAAGTCCTTCAGTAGATCTGTACTAGATATGTCGAGCGTGGTGTTGGAAACAAAGGAGGGGGATATGAAGTCCAACTCATGATTTGTTTGGGATGTTACTAGACGACCCATTTGAGGACAGTCCATTCGGAGCAGCGGATGTCTCAGGTGAGGTTTGTACCAACCTCAGAGTTGCCAAAAGCTCCAAAAAGGGGGACTTTTGTGCTTCCATCCTTCATTCCTGGAGCAGCCGTCCCTATGTTTCTGTAGTAGCTCAAAAAAAAAGACACGCCATCATAATAAGGACACAGTACAATGTTATAAGTACGTGTCAGCTAGCTGACTGCATTCAGTGCATTGACTGCACAGAATCATAGAAAATGAGAACCTAGATTATGTGGACCTCAGACTAGTTAAAGTATCTGACTAGTAAGGCGTTATAATCACTCTATGCGCTCTGTTAATGTCAGATATTTTCAGTAGGGACCCGTTCAAAGGCACAGACCCCTTCTCCTCAGACGCCTTATTCGGACAGCCCCCTCCCAAGCCCTTCGGAGATCTCGTCGTTCCCGCCAAACCCCGACCCTTTAACTGCCAGTTCAGCGGCTGGGTAAAGGATCCCATCCTTTCGGAGAACGGCAAGGAGTCAACGGTCCTGCTTGTCTTCGAGGCTGCCAGTCCGACCGACGATGAGCCCGTCCAATGCGAAGCGCTAAGCACAGTCGACCCAGACCCCTTGGCCCCCTCCCAGCGCATTGAGGGTTCCTCGGTAAGTACAGATAAATGGTTTACTGCCCCCTGGTGTCACATCAGCATTACTGCTTACTGCAACTGCCTATCTGTGTCTCAGAATGACTCGCCTTCCACGGTCACAGTGACTCATCTTCCTGAAGATTTGGAGGAACTCCATGACTCCTGCCCAGGTAACTCCGGGTGTCCCCTGAGCACCCCATGGTTTAGAGATTCCTTATATCCGCGTGGAATGCTAGCACAGCAGAAGCCTGATAAAACATCTCCTTTCAAGCAGTATGGCTTAATGACATTAATGATCAGTAAATTGCTATTAAGTCTACTGATGCTTCTTAGCATATTTATGTTTTCCTCTTTGATATTAATGCACTTGCCATAGAGTTGCTGAAGGAATTCATTGTGTTATCTGCAATGCTACTCGAGAACTGCTATTGTGACGTCTTAAAATATACAAACATTCTCTCAATTCTGACCTTTTAGAAAAAGACAAAACGGCAGCAGCAGCTTTAGGTCATTTTACTAGAAAGCGTCCAGTCGGCTGATTGACAGGTGATATACGGCTGGACTGCAGGCCCCCGCCCCTGTGCTGTGTGCGGAACCTAATGCCCTGAGTGATACCCGCCACATCCTCCCCCCTTTGTGCTCAGCTCCCTTTGCCGGGGTGTCTGGTAATCTACCGCTGGCAGAGAGGTTCGCCGATTTCGGCCGGCTGTCCATCAGCACCGAAAGCCTGGCTTCGTGTAGCACTGAGAACCAGGACGATTCATCTGCAGAAGACAGCGAGGACGAGAACCTGCACACGCCCCCCGGGAGCCCCGGCGGACCCCCTCCACTGCCTCCTGGTAAGTTCTGACCCCTAGTGAGCCCAGTGATGGGGTTACAGACCATCCCTAAATGCGCTTTCTGAGTCTTGACCACCTATGTTCCTGGGCTAGCTAAGCTAGTGTCTGTGTGCGTCCGCTCTGTGAATAATTACACCCCTTTTGGTGTCCTGGCACTCAGCTACTCTGTTTGTTTATCATTCGTGTGGAAAAAATGCAGATATGTTGTTTGCTTGGCTTCTGCCCTTAAATTTAGTTGACCTGTCCCCTGCTATGGTTAGTGCCCAGGTTTAGCGTAGCAGGCATGATGCTAAGTGTTTAGCTTGACTTGCCTCTCACCATCACAGTGCTTATGTTGTCGTAACATGCTGGTTACTCTGTGCTGTGTCTTCATTTCAGATTAATGTTCTTATTTTACATCAGAGAAATGAAGGCACTGCTTTCTACATCTTGTTCCTCTGCCTTATCGTCTCCATGTTAACAATCTTTTATTTTTTTTTTTAAGGATCCGGCAACTCCTCACACCATCATAATGAGACAGAAGCCTGTGACTTTTTCCCCACAACGTCACACCGCTGCCCCCTGGGAGATTTGGATAATTTCTCCACCTCTGACAATGTGAGCTTCTCTTAAACCCCTATCCCCAGTTTGTAAACCCCAGTACCACCCAGTAACAAACTATGCTAATCAAATAGCAGCAGTTTCCCCTTAAACTTCCAAGTCAGTTATTTGGTGGGTCGCTATCTGTTTGTCACATAGTATAAGACTGTGTTAAGAGTCCACTCAGCCTCAAGATGGCACCACTATCCAGTTCTGCTGCACACAACAATGGAATATGATGTATAGATTAACTCCCACTGTTCCCTGCACTCTGTCAGGCTTTGTCACTATGGATTCTATCCCTGTTGCTATGTCGACCCAGTGTTTACCCAATCACAGAGTGCCATGTCAGGAGGCCCTGATTGCTGGTAGTGTGGAACTAGGCTGAAAGCTTCATGCTTTGATATGCAAAGGATAGTGAGGGAAACGCAAAACTGGGCGGAACAGGCCAGTTGCGGCTTGTTATGGCTTGACAATGGATGAGGCACGTTAGTGGGAAGCAGTGCAATGCGAGGACCCGCACTGGCTGGGTATTTAGCAGGTGCTGGTGAAGTCTGCCAGATAGGAGGAGGTACTGGTACTTTTTAAAGGCGCAGGGTGTGACTCTTCCTGAACAAGCACACAAGGCCCGGCTTCTCAAAATCCATTACCTTGTGAGTATAAATGTCATTTCTCCCGGGGCCATTTTAATCTCACAGGCCGGAGAAACCTCATCCTGCTTCCCTGGCAGATGAGCCTCACGTCTGAATGAAATGCTCTTCTTGAGGGACAATGAGGACGGGAAGCTGAGTTTCACAGGTTTTCATGGAAAATGACGACAAGCACGGATTCGTGACTCGCCCTCGGGGCACCGCTAGAGATCTTGAGCTCCATGAAAGCGTATCATGAATAGACCCCAACCCAGACCAATCCAACTATTTCCCAGATATTTTCGGTCCCCTTTCACTCAGGATCCTTGGACCCCCCCCCCCCAAACACTGTAGCAACATATCCACTGATAGATGTTGGACAGCACTGTGTGTACGACTGATTTAATGAGATACAGTTTTCAGTTCTGTTGATGAAGGGTGCAGCCATCTTGAATTCTGAATTCGAGGTTGCAATGGTTCCTCCATCTTTCCGAGTTGGAATTCTGATTTTAGATGGCATTCTAGTTGAAATTTACGACTCGGCACTCAGAAATGCCGACTTTGGAGTTCAAATTGAAAACGCACCAATACTTGTGCTTTTTCGACACAGAAAGCTCAGTAATACATTTTAACGTCGTGTGAATTGTTCCGCCTGTGCGCTTCGGCAAACCATTTACTGTCTGTGTGTGCATGTGAGACGTATGTTCACGTGTCTGCCTGTTTCTCTGCTGTTCTCTCCCTGCCCTGGATGGCCAGGCAGAAAACTCGGGACTCGCCGGTCCAGAGCCAGAGATGCTGGACCCTCCCAGAGCCCTCGACGAGGGGCAGTCCTGAGTGCCTCTCCCTGTGCAGCCCGGACAGCTGAAGCCTTGTTACAAGATAACAGAAATGACACATGAAAGGAACTTAAAACTCCTGTTTTCTCCCTGACGTGCTCCTTGCCTACCCTCCCCTGACATCCTACCTTGAGCCAATCCTAGTATCATTGTTGCTGTTGTCCTCGTCATTGTTGCTTAGCAAACGTCATCATGTCGGGCAGTCAGCAATCTTAACCGCGCACTAAACTCGGTCACATGACGGTGCTGCATTCCAGCATTGCCGGTTGCAATGGATTTATTTAGGAACAGGGGCGGGCGAACAACCTTCATGTGGATCCTCCTCCGGTGTTCCCTGGTGCTTGTATGGTTTTACATATTTTTTGCACACCTTCGATTTCCGGTTTTCAATCTGAATCCCACTGCTTCTCTTTTCAAACCAACAATATAAAAAGATTTTGGGATATTAAATTTCTGATTTCTCATTCATTTGCTTTGTTTTTCTTTAACAAAACAATGCCTTAAGTCAAACGAAAGTTATGTTTCCATTTGCTGATTGAGCTCTGAACGTAAACGAACTTCGTAGCCATTCGTAGGCACAATCCGTTGAGAGTGTTATTTGTAAATAGTGGGTCCTTCCACGGCTTTATCCATAAACTCGACACTTGCAATGGATTACGGGTAACAATCCCCTCAGCTGCGGCACTGAAGGTCTAATGGTGGGTGGAGAAGTCATTCTTTTTTATGTTTGTTTTATGGAGAAAAGTCACAAAAGGGGGGTTGAAAGAGCAGATGGCAAGCTGTGATGAGAGATCTGGGATAAGCCACTTAAAAGCGAGGTGACGGTCTTCCTGTCTTTCCTTGCGTCACAAATATTTTCTGCAGGTTTTACCACATGAAACTGTAGTAGCTCCAGAGGCAATTAAAAAGAATAGAAGCTCTTTATTGTTATTGTACAGGTACAGCTGCAATGAAATTTAATCTTGGCAATCCCATCCTGCTCTCATGTGGGAGACATGCATATTTAGGTGAGAGTGAAGTCTAGGGTGAGAACACATGGCCAGGTGTGTTTCCAACACCTCTGGACAGTTTTGGGGGTTTTGGGTTAGCATCCACCCTGCCGTCCATGGGATTCGAACCGGAGGGCTACTGGTGCAGACTCCCGACACTCATGCGGTCACAGTTTCTATTCTTATTTATCTGTATGTTGCAAAACTAAACCACCTGAGACACAAAAAGGTACATTGTAAGTAACTTGGGACACAGTTTTATTAACTTTGAGGGTGAGCATCATTCGTGATCTTGTATTTACGTCTCTTCTAAACGAGAAAATCTGAGTGCGGAGAAACTTTACGTTAAAGAATTTCCACACACTGCCGTGTATAACTAGGCAAGATAATTAAAGGAAACCTTTTTAAAACTTGTGCATGTTTATTATTAGGGTGTTAACTTCTGAAATTCAAATAAACCTTGGAATTGAATCATCTTCTTCCTCTAATGTTTTAATTGCCTTCGTGATTTTTGTCATTCACACACTCATCTTTCACGACAAGCCAGGGCAGTGTTGGGGGGCGGGTGGATCTAGCTAACATTCTATGGGAAAGTTAGAGACACCAGCCCACTTAAATGTCTGTCCTTGAGCTATGGAAGGAAACGCAAATACTCAGACGAACGCAGCAGCTCCACACACCCACAATGGGGCAGGATTCTCCCATCCTCGTGCTGCGAGCGCAACCTGCCCAATATCCAGTCTTCATGACATACTTCTCACCAGTAGGGGCCGATAGTGAGGCCTTGAGCGACGGTACAAATTCTGTAGCCCCAAGTGCTGAGCTGAAAGCCTTGATTCAGCTCTATTCCATTGTTCGCACGCTATACTGTATGTGTAATATTTCACATATTCTGAACAAAACCTGCAAACAATACAGTAACACGCATGAAGCTTGTTTTTAGTTCTGTTTTTCATTGTTATCTGTTTTATTGTTGTTATTATTAGTAGTATTATGGATTGTAAAAGAGCTGTGCTCAAAACTATGGAACCAAATGACACCATCCCGAGAGAACTAGCACCTGTATAAAGGAAATACAGATTTCCCCTTTATTTGTCAAGTTAGAAACGTGTGTTTGTGCGGAGCCAGTGTGCTAATTATATCTGCGTCCTCTCGAGACCTGTCACACAGGGTTGTCAACAGCAGCTGATAGCCGGGAGGGTTAGTGTCCCTTGGAGATGAATATCAGAGGAGGAGCCGCGCCATTGCGCTCGGTGAGAAAGGGAAACTTTACGGTCACTGGAATTTAATCAGATTTTGGTTAAATGGCAGAGCTGTTTATTTTTATTTATTATTTTTTTTTACATGAAAATATACATTCAATAAAAGATGAAGAAGAATCTCAGTTAGTGGTAGCCTGGGATATTTAACGTAACCTATGCGCAAGTTAATAGCAATTCAAATTAATTTATTAATATGCGTCATCTAGTGCACATCTAGTAACCCTGAAGTCACTGCAGGTTGTGGGTTTGACTATAGTTCTCTGGGTGGGGTGTTCGATCTCCCGCCCTTCTCTCCGTCCTCTACAGCGTCTCTACCCACATTGCGGTAAGTTGGTCTCACTTTCAGATTTCTGTGACTTGGGGACACAGTGATCCCTGCAGTCACACACCATGTGAACATCATCTCCTTAAATAAATGTGTGGCTTACAAAATATATGGGTGGAATAATACTAAACAAAAAGAAGTGTTATGCTTTTAGAGAGCAGAAGATTTGAAGGGAATGACTTCGTAATACGTTGCCTATTAATATGTTGGAGGTTTTTCTGATGGATGGTTCTGTGAATACTGAAAACTCTGCTTGTCCTTTTTTAGTACCTTACAAGAGCAGATGCAAAATGCAGCTGTAATCAGACGGCATTAAGACCCGGCGCTGGTCAGAGGCCGACATTCCGGCACATTGTAAAGAAGCCAGTGTCGTCGGAGCACAGCCTCGGACACCTTTCATAAGCGCTTTTCATAGGACGGGGAGTGGCGAGCAGCGTCAGCCGGGCTCTGCGCTCAGGTGCGCCCGAGCGAAGGTGAACCGCACCCGGCCAAGACGCCCTAAGCTCCTGCGCCCCCAGCGCGCTCAGCCGCGAATCAGGGGAATGAGTTTCATCGGTGGTTGGAGAGTCAGCCTCAGGAAAAATGACGGTAAAAGGTGATTTATCCGCACCCCGACTATAACCTTCTCCTTTGCCTGTATTACGCAAAGAAATATATTTTCACTTTTTACTAAATCTTTTTATTAAATCAACTTAATTGTTTATATCTCCCTAGTAGGAGGTTATTTACTTCATTTTATTAAGTAAAACTCAAATACAATTGCGCGATCTTTTCAGTATTACCGGGGCAAAAGCGAAAACCATAAACTCATTTGGTAACTAATGTGAGCGATTAGCCTACATAATTTAAAAAAAATGTTTCGTGTACTGAAAGCGATGGGATGTTAGTTTTATTTCCAGGTATAAGTGAAAAGCAGTGATTTCACAGTGAGGCACAGTGAGGAAATTTTGGTTGTATATTTATGTAAGTTTATAACACGTTCTGGATTTTGAGCAGTATGTTTTGTTGTATGTGTTGTATCTACTGCGCCTCGATCCAAATCTAATTTTTGAAGCCTTATTACAACGACATTTACGCTGTAATATAGATACAGTTCAGAGCCACATGACAGATGCTACAACTGTAAAGTTTGTCAGCATGAACAAATCACTATGAACTAGGAGTTTTACCTGAGACTGAATCCTATATTTTAGTGTAGAGTGACACCAGTAACCCCAGAATGTCCCAAGCCAATGGCTGTGTCCCAGGAGGTGTACTGTGATGTGGAGGTATGTTTGCAGGGAAATGTAGTGGTCGAAGAGCAGTTCCTGCATCCAGGGAGCCTTTTAGGGCAATTTAAACATCTGCGCTCCCCATCCAACATGTACCTCCATCTGAAAAGGCTGTTTGCAGTATATGGATTCATGTGGAAGTGTGCTGTGTAGTGCAGGTAACAGTGAGACATCACTCAAGCCCTGGGGAATCTGGCACTTGAAGGGATTATCTGCCTCTTTTCACTACATTGTCACACTTGGTTGACGTGTCTGTGAAGCTCCCTGTTTACGGGAGACACGCCTAGCTCATCCTCGCTTGAGTGTCCAGGAGTGATTTCTTGTGTGTGTGGTGATACTCTCTCACCAGATTAGGAGTTAGCCGGAATCTCAGAGGTCCAGGAGCTGCCAGAAGCTTCCTGAATTGGAGTGTTGATGGTTTTGGGGGGAGTCTGAACGCATGTGAGTGAGGAGGCCATCGTTTATTGGTGCGAGAGAGAGCCATGAAGCGAGAAATGAGCCAAGGCTGTACGGAAATATGGGAAGAGGCTGCAGCCAGACCGGTGGCAAGAATCCACAGGACCTTTCAGAGACATGCTGTTGCTAGAAGCTCCCAGGTTTGGGTGCTGCTTTTCGTATATGTCACAAAACATCACGGAAAATGTGCATTTTCTGTAGTAGGGTTCATCTTCCTGTAAGCAAAGTGGCGTTCCCTGATACGAGCTTAGAGAAACGCTTCGTTTGCGGGACCCTGTGCCGGAGCAGCCGGCACTGAACCTGGCCTGGGTGCCCGTGAGGTTCGGAGCGTGTCTGTGCACGACACGGCTACCGGGCCTGGACGTGTTCCCGCGGAGTGCACTGCTCCACTGCCGAGTCACTCGGAATTGTGACACTGTGAGCGTGTTGGAGGTGCCAAAGAGAAGAGACCTCATAGGGAGGGGGGGCACTCCCACCCACTTATCATATCAGCCTGCTGGGTAAACAAGTGGAGGAGGTGAAACACCTTGGCGCCTCCCTCCCTGTGTGTCAAACCCCAGCAGTCATACCTCTCTCTCACTCTCTATCTGTCTCTGTATCTGTCTGTCTGTTTATCTGTCTGTCTCTGTCTGTCTGTCTGTCTCTGTCTGTCTATTTATCTGCCTGTCTCTGTATCTGTCTGTTTATCTGTCTGTCTCTGTATCTGTCTGTCTGTCTCTGTATCTGTCTGTCTGTCTGTTTATCTGTCTGTCTGTCTGTTTATCTGTCTGTCTGTCTCTGTCTGTCTCTGTATCTGTCTGTCTGTCTCTGTCTCTGTCTGTCTCTGTCTGTCTGTTTATCTGTCTGTCTCTGTCTGTCTGTCTGTCTGTCTCTGTATCTGTCTGTCTGTCTCTGTATCTGTCTGCCTGTCTCTGTCTGTCTGTCTCTGTCTGTCTGTGTATCCGTCTGTCTGTCTCTGTCTGTCTTTCCCCGTGACTGTCTCACTCTCTCGCTCTCACCGACATGTTTTTTCTCGGTCTCTCACCTTGTTTCCCTGGGTGTGTTATGCCCCCCCCACCCCCCTCCCCACAGTCACACCTCTCTCTCTTCTTCTTCCAGGAGTCCTGTGCCAGCTGGTAAACCTACCGGCAGTCCCACCCCCCCAGCCAGGTACTCCATCCTTATAGATTTATGTAATTTCCTGCCGCACGTTCCCGATGCGCTTCCCCATTTCTGCCTGTGGGAGGTGCTGACTGGTGTGTGAGGAGCACAATGGTCAAGACAAGAGATATCAGAGATCTGTGTTTTAGCTGTGATGCCCCCAGCCTGAAATCTCACTGGAGGGGAAGCGGGGATGAGGGGGGGGGGGGGTCTTCTCATCACAGCACAATCTCACATCCCCATCATCAATTATCAGCCCCCAGATTATCTCAGCAGGAAGGAAGGAATCCCATGAAATGACATTTCAGTAACGATGGTGCCATCCATTAGATCTGTAGCTTCATAACCGGCTCCATCGCTAATGAGCGACTTACTTTTGGTTTTCAGGTTGTCCGTCATAAACTGCAAAGAACTCGACCCGGTCATACCTGATGTCAAGTAAGCGCCTTTTCTGACGGGGCGAGTTTCCCAGAGGGGATGGCATCCCTCATTTTCCACCTCAGTCCTGCTTTCTCCCCCCTTAAATTAATGATGTTAGAAAAAAAGGGCTTCATTCTGGGTATAGATGGTGGTGTGTTTTTCCGAGACGGGGACCCTCTTCAGTCCTGTGTGCCAGTTAAGGTGGCCTTGTGCTCCTCCCCCTGCTCTAGGCTCCCGTTCGTGGACGGCAGTGATGTTCCCAGCGTCACATCTCCAGCTGAAGGGTAAGTCTGACTCTTGTCAGTTTGTGATCTTTCCCAGAACTGGAGCCCAGAGAACTTGACTCATGGCTAAACCGTTAGCTTTGTAGCTAACTCAGGAATGACCACTTTGGACGGGTGTGTTTGCAAGCGGGCCTCAGTCTGGGTTGTTAGAGCCTCCGTCTCCCCTCTCATTCAGCCATTGTGAGTGTGAGGTCCGAATGAGACATCTGCAGCGTGTCTTTCCCAACCCAATCGGATTAGTGGGCGACGTGTAAAACCATCCGCTGCATAATACTGCCTTCATTAAGAATATGTCATCAGCCGTAGCAGAGGGGGGCTAATGAGGATGAG